AGAATTATGTCACTATTTTTTTGTTTAACTTAATTCCCATGAACAAATAAGGTGACTCTCCGAGAGTATTCTAATCTTGCTAGATGGGTTAGAAAGTGGTATCTGTATAATATGGGAGCCAGAAGCTAAATTTTTTAGGAAAGGTCACTTGCTCTGTCTTTCAGTCACAGAATCACTAGATGGCTCCATATTTGCAGTCTGTTTTGCAGGGCTGAACTTGATAGGCTAATATTTATGTCTCTGCTTATCAGCTTGGCCTATATGAACTCCATTTAACAATACTAGTACTCAGAAACTAAAACCAATATATTAAATATTAAGTAATTTGATATATTTTATTACCTCTTGAATTTAATCAATAGGAATACATTATTGAACAATGGTGAGGATTTTTATCTTATTGTCTAGGAAATAATGTCCTTTACATGGCATGTATGGTCCTTTAGGCTATGGTGATCCTTCATCTCATTAAAACATAATGAGAAAAAGCTGGTCTCTCGTAATGAGGCAGAACTAAATGGGTTCTTAGAACAATCAATAAAAGATTATTAAGAAAGAAAATTTTCTTAAAAAAAAAAAGAATATATTTTCCTCTAAGTCCTGCAGCATTATAATAATAGAACAGGGTGAGACTTTCTTGCTTTCAAAAGCATACCACTCAGGAATTTAATTAAGATTATTTTTTAAAATCTTTAAAAAACCATGAAAACTGTTCACATATGTATTAAATTAAAAAACAGTGAACTTTGTCTATACATATACAGTCATATCTGGATTCATTTATAACATGATCTCAATTGTTTAAAATATTGAATAATGGAAATTTTCAATCACAAAGACACAGAATAATTTACAAGACCAGTGCTCTAACCCCTGAGCTATGGAGCCTAGACACAGAATAATTTAATAAGCCTCTCTTTACTCATGGCTTAGCTCCAACAATAATCATCTCATAGCCAGTGTTGTTCCTTCTTATGCTCCTATTACTACACCTTCTTCCCAGGCATCATATCATTTTTCCTATAAATAAACTGGTATGTATCTCTCAAAGGTATTGAATACAAAAACACTATACTACCATATCTCACATTTTAAAGATTAACAAGAAGTCTGTATCATCAAGTATCTACAAATTCCCAAATGTCTCATGTAATTTCATGATTTTTTAATAGTTTCCTTAAATCTGGATTAAAAAAATCCACCATTGGATTGATATATCTCTTAAAACCTTTTTAATCTGTAAACTCCTCTGTTTCAATCTCCTCCTCTATACATTTTCCTCTCTCTCTGTACATTTTTGTAGTTTGTTTTTGTTGGTCTTGAATAAACAAGGTGTTTTCCCCTGGAGAGTTTCTCAGGGTCTGGCTTTTGCTGGTTTAATCCTTATGGTGTCATTTTACATGTTCCTGCTCTTCTGGGTTTTTTGGTAAATTGGGCATTTGGGCAGAGAGGCTTGCTCAAATTCAGAGTTTGATTGATTTTTTTTTTTTTTTTTTTTTTTGCCAAGAATATTTCACAGTTGGTGAGGTCTTCTTCCATTAGACTAAGGCTAATAATATCTGATTGTGGCTCTTTTTGTGTTACCAGTTAACACATATAGTTACAGTTTATAACCATATCAGCATCCTATCCTTGATTTTGGCTTAGGTCATGAGCTCACGGGTTTGCAAGATCAAGCCCTGCATTGGGCTCTGCACTAACAGCACGGAGCCTGCTTGGGATTCTCTCTCTTCAGTCTCTGCCCCTCCCCTGCTCGCACATGTGCACACTCCCTCTCTCAAAATAAATAAATAAACATAAAATTAAATTAAAAAAATAAAATAAAATAAAATAAAATAAAATAAAATAAAATAATGGGTTTGTTCACTAGTACCCTCTAACGGTGACCAATTAAAAATTTAATTTTAGTTGTTTCTTTTTGTATAGTTATGAACTCATGGATTCAAACTATCTGATTTCCCTATCTGAGTGGCCTTGGACAAATCACTTAACACCTCTAAGCTATGGTTCACCTTGTCCTAAAATGGGGATGATGATTGTGCCTACTTCACAGAGTGATGAGCCTTCAGAGATAACAATGTTTTTACGGCACGCAGCACACTGCCAGACGCAAATAGAATCTTGCTAAGTCTACTTAGCAACAGTTGTGTTCTTACTATGATTTGAATTATAATCAGAAAATAGTACTTTAAAATCTACTTCAAACTGCTCCTATAGAACTTCGACTTTATACTACTTTTCAATATGAACAATAAGCTGCCTTTTAACTGCCTGTTTTAGGTTTGCTTTTTTTCCCATTATGTAATCAAAATAATACAGAGTAGCAAGTTCTCTGTTAGGACAGAGGTGATTTAATGACGATGCTTCGTGTTTGAGAGGTTCAGAGGTTTTGACCTGGAAATCAAATGGTCAAAAAATTCAGAATAGTCAAAACAAGTTCATGAATGCCATAAAGTATCAGCAGTGTAGACATGCAACTTTGCCTGTGAGGTGTTCAAAAGAAGTAGAAGAAGAATGGGAAGGCCTTCAAATCTCTATTTATAGTTATTTGCATATTTCAAAATTCTCTGACCATCAGTAGCTCTATGATTAATTCTGGGTTCCTGCCTCTTAGATCATGAGCTTGAATATGATGCCTGTTTATACTCATGGCTTGCATTTGGTTAAGTCCTAGATTTTATTTAATATAGCCACAAAACACACAAAAAAAATACAAAACTAAGCAAAAGAAAAAACCAAAATCACCTGCTGTACTATTCTTTCTTTGGATTCTGTGCTTGTCTTTCATGAAGATGAAGCTGAATTTACAACAAAGTAATTTTGTTTTAAAAAGGAGAAAGAGGGGCGCCTGGGTGGCGCAGTCGGTTAAGCGTCCGACTTCAGCCAGGTCACGATCTCGCGGTCCGTGAGTTCGAGCCCCGCGTCAGGCTCTGGGCTGATGGCTCAGAGCCTGGAGCCTGTTTCCGATTCTGCGTCTCCCTCTCTCTCTGCCCCTCCCCCGTTCATGCTCTGTCTCTCTCTGTCCCAAAAATAAACAAAAACGTTGAAAAAAAATAAATAAATAAAAATAAAAAATAAATAAAAAGGAGAAAGAGTGAGGGAAACTTCTTTTTTAATGACCATGCAGTCTAGTACAAAGAATTAATTGAATGTACTCAATTGGTTAGGATCAATATTGTTTTTCCAAAATAATCTGTGTTATTCTAATTTGCTTTAGGGTTATAAATACAACTCTAGTTCACAAAATGTTTGGATTTTAAAGAAGAGGTGTCAAATGTAGTGAATTCCACTGGAGTAGAATCCCAACTTGACTTTAATTTTCTGAATGTGGTATCTAAGGCAGACTCTTTTTGAAAAATGGGATATAAGGGTTTGACTTACCTTCACTTAAAAAAAAATCTAGTCATGAAAGCACAGCTTCTGGCCAAGAATAGTTCATGCCAACATATTCAATACATGTTACTGAACTATAGAGTGGTGGCTATGTTCCCTGGCTTATCTTGCTTTAATTTGCCTGTCAAGCAGAAGTGTGCCATTAAGATTTTCTTCAGTGCTGTAGAGAGATGGTTATGATAGGCAAGAAAATTCAGGAAGTCCGTATCACAGAAAAATGTCAAGTTCAAAAACACTACAATAAGCAACAAATTAATTCACAAGACTCTAATCAGATGTCAGAGAAGTGGTGTCAGTTCTGGGTGAGAAGCTCTGCTGAATTTTTATTTTTTCGTGTGACTCCATTAAGACAGATATGAGAGAATTAGAGTTGATTCCTTTAAAAATAATTGCCGTCACTGAATCTGATGAAACATAAGTCGTACTTTTTGACTTACTTGCTGATGGACCGTATACTTGAATCCTAAGTACCCTCAGTGTATTTTGAAATGTTTTTTACCTTGATTCTAATGAGTGACTTTGTCAAAATATTTTAACAACTAAGTGGGTCAAAAATGTTGTTCCATTTACATCCTCTGCAAACATAAATAATTTGAAGGGATTATTGAAGACAATTCCAGAAGAGAGTGTTTTTTTTTTTATTTATATATTTTTTCATCCAAATGGAAGTTAAAAACAGCACCACCATCTAATGACAGGCTCAAATTACTTTGCTCAGGTTACCCAGAGGTTGTTAAGCATACAACTTTGGCTCAGATCATGATCTCACAGTTCATGGGTTTGAGCCCCGCGTCGGGCTCTGTGCTTACTGCTCAGAGCCTGGAGCCTTCTTCTGATTCTGTGTCTCCCTCTCTCTCTGCTCCTCCCCTGCCCATGCTCTGTCTCTCTATTCTCTCTCTGTCTCTCAAAAATAGAGAAATGTAAAAAAAATTTTTTTAAAGATGAACACCTTTCTCTACTGCTCTTCATTCTTTATAACTATTGCATAATATTCCATTGATTGAATATCTCAGAATTTTTTTGGTTATTCTATATTTTTATAAGCATGAAGATTGTTTCCAATTTATTTTTACTATTTCAACTGTGCATTTTACTTCAAAGATTTGTCAGGCTTTATCATGGAAAATAAAACCAAAGCAGAAATTTACATTTCAATTTACGGACATGTGTTAAATTAAGCCTATTGCATATAAGGCATAGGATTTTCTAGGCACTGTCTAGGATGTCGGAAATGACCACTTAGTGAATGGGCTTTCCTATGCTGTCTCGCCTTTATAAAATGCCTTGAATACTTGTTTTACTTCTTTCCCTCTGTCCCATAAGTTCCTATGGCAGACAGTGGAGACTGACTCACTCAGCAACCATTCTCAGCCTTTGTCCCCTTGTTTACCTTCCCTACAGAGCCCGGGAAAGTTGAATATTCACTTTCCAGTCTCCCACACAGCTAACCTGTCCAGGGACACAACAGCCATTTTGTGACTATGAGGCAAAGACCATAAGAACCAAAGAGATGTCTGTCCAGACGTCATCAAACTTTTATTGTTTAAGCTACTATAGGTCAAGCTCTCCATTTTCTGTGACCAAATACTTTACTAACTGATCCAGTCTCCAGGCTGCACATTTAAGACAATGAAAACAGAAACTTCTTTTACTGTCTAAGTAATTTGGAGCTCTCTTTCTGCAGCACCTGGTCAGAATTCCTCAGGTAATGGTGTGAAGTACCAATTCTGTGAGGCCGCTCTTGCCTGGGAGGATTTCACACAAGTCACAAAGTTTAGAAGGGCACACTATCCAATATTTGACAGATGGTGTGAAATGGAATGCAGTATGGAAGGTGCTGGTGCTGGTTAAGAACACGGATAGTTATGTACGACAGGAGAAAGCATAGCTCTACGCAAGAAAGCTTTCTGACAGTAGCTTTCGGTGCCTCCCAATAAGATCCAATTATATTGCCTTCCAGGGACAACTTGCAGTTTTTATCTTCACATGAATGTCCTGTCTGAGGTTGTAGAGGGTTATTCACAGAACCTTACTGGGTCAGAATATTGCTGTAACCATAAACTGATGGTAAAGAAGGTGCTTGGTCAATTTTCTTGGAAAAATCCAATTATCAGCAGGAGAAGACACACTAAAAGAAAGAAGAATTAGACAAAGATGAGAAGAAATGGAACATTAAGTTTTAAAGGTGTTCATCCATTTGCTGGGGGCCTCCTGAGTAGCAAGTAGGGTATGAGGGAAGCCACAGTTCATCAAAAACTCGTTCTGTACCAGAAACTAACTTGACAATATGTATTCTTCGTTTTTCCGGGGCTACTGTTGTGGTGTAATCAGCTCCTATACACAACTGTGTTCCCAGAAATGCTCTTCAGGGGTTCTTGGGACAAATGGCTCATCAGGCCAAGATAAATCCTAAAAGGAGAAGGGGAAAGAGGGGTTCATCAAAGGAAGTGGAGGAGGGGAATTGGGTCCCTTCAAACCTATAAACTGTTGAATGATGACGATGTATGAAAGTGAGCAAGCCACCAGCCCTGCCGTGGCTAACAGGTAGGAGGGACTTGGGCAGTGAAATTGGCAGAGCCTTACTCACAACAAGCTTTTGAAGTGTTCCTGTCATGCCAGACTCTGACTCCCTTCCCCTGGTGGCCTGTGATGCTGCAGGGGGAAGGTTTGGCTTGCTGAAGCAAAATACATGAGCTACCACTGGCACCCATTATGATGATCAGGGCTTTGTCCTATGGATGCTTTCTTTAATCCTCATTTGGCTTTCTGAGTATCGATGTGATGGAGAACACCTTAAAATGCCCATCACTGACATTTCTGTATTTGTCTTTCCAAAGCATGTGCTGGCCAAGGGAGACCCCTGTCACAGCCCTGGGAAAGTTGGGAAGGAGGAAGATAAACTTTAGAGAAAGGCAGATCTGAGTTCAAACCATGACTACTTTACATACCAAAAACCAGTGTGACCTTGGGCCTGCTGTTTAACCTCAGTTTTATCATCTATAAAATGAGGGGTTGGGGGATTGTGTCTCTACTTCAGGGGATTGTTAAGAGGATTAAATACACCAATGTAAATAATATACTTACTGAAGAGATGGGCACAGAGAACCAAATGTAATTGTTTTATTGTTACAATTATCATCATAATGTTTACTACTGTTTTCAGTGCCAAAATACGTGTTTCTCTCATCTTCTCTTGCCCATTCATTCATATATTCATTCACTTGGTAACATTGATGAGCCGTGTATGATGTTTTGGTGCAGCAAGTGATATAAAGAAAACTGGGACATGGTCTTCTTGGCACGGGGTCTGTAGACCTCAGAGAAGTAAGACACTGCTGGTCTTCCAACCCTAGTCCGTCCCTGTCTCATTCCACACTCTCCATGGCAACCACCACAAAGGCAGGTCTGAAATGCAAATGTGTCGTGCCTCTCCCCTGCTGAAATCCCAATCCCCTCATAAAATCCGAGTCTCTTTGCAATAACAGACTGTTTCTGTAAGGGCCAGATAGTGAATATGTTTGGCTTTGTGGACCAGGATCTATGTTGTCAGTATGCAATTCTACCATTGTAGTGTAAAAACAGGTATACATCCATGAATAGAGGTGACTGGATATGGCTGGATTCGGCCCGGGGCCCGTAGTTTTCTGATCCCTGCTAGATGGTCCCTGCCTACCTCTTGAACAGTCAGCTCCTTTCTTCCTAGCTTGCAGTGTCTGCTCCAGCTGTGCCAACTGCACAGCCCAAATGTGCATCACTTGCTCACTTGAGGCTCTTTCTTTGACTTGCTGCTGTCTCTACTTAGAACACTCTTCTTCTCCCTCTTACTTGGATAAATCTGGCATGCTCTCCTGATTTCTCCTTAGCTATCCATTTCTGCAGACAGCTGGTCCTCATGTCTCCTCCAATCCTCTGCAAACACATACCATATGTACCATAGAATATGTGCTATATTTTCCTCTAGTGTGTTCCAGTTACACAGTAAAACACTGTCAGAGTGCCTTTTCATTCAGTTGTCTGTATCTCCAGATAGACAGCAAGTTCCCTAGAGGTGGAGGAGAGAAATAGCTTTACTTAGTCAACAAGTATTTAGGGAGCACCTGCTTCATGCCAGGCCTTGTACAAGGTGGTAGAAATCCAGCAATAGACAAAGACAAGTGTATTACCTTTCCCCAAGGAAGTGGTCAAACAAAACACAAACAGGTGACTACATAATGCCAACAATGACAGATTTTAGAATATCTGCTCACATAAAAACAAGCAAACAAAGACAGGGAGTAATGGGGCCAGCTGGGGTGGGGGCTGAGGTCAGGAAGCCCACTCTGGATAATGTGGCCAAAGAAGACTTCCTCTTTACACAGTAGCTCAACTTATTTAGAGAGGGCTGGGGAGATGAGGGTGTGAAAAGCTTGAAGCTGAGAGGAATGAGATAAGGTGGGTCAGGAGGTACAATTCCTTTTAGTAAGGCAATCCTAGAGCACACTGCAGTGCCTGAAAAGTAATAGGCCCTTGGTCAGGGTTTGATAACTGTCTCAGTTGCATTCCCCCAAAGCAGGTCCTGAGACAAGAAATTTGGCTCACAAAGTTTACTTGAGAGGCGATGCCAGGAAGCACAATGATGAGACATTGTGGAGGGACGCCCACTATGGATATTAATGGGCAATGGGGACTCAATCCCAAAGGGAGCCTCTGAAAAACTATGCTGAACACACCTCAGAGATTCCCCACAGAGGTGGTTGTGCCCACCAGTTTCCATCCCAAATTGAAAATTGCAAGATGGCAGAGAATTCACTCGAAGGGACTTCCACCATGCCCCAGTCCCAAGGCTGAGCATATTCATGCCTCCTGAGAAAGTCCTCAGCAGTGAGGCTTGGGTGTTGGAGGGGGAAGCCTTTGGGGTGGCACAGATCAGACTGTTCCCGTGAAGCTGCACTGCAGGTGGCCTCTAGGGTGAGCTGAGGGGATATAGGCAAAGCATCAACCACCTCTGCTACAATAACTAAGTGAATAAATGAATGAAAGGGTGAATAATTGAAGTCGAGAAAAAAAGAGTGAAGTACTTACTATGCAGTAAGCCCAAGGTGAGTGATATGAAGTAACAGGAAATATGAACGAAGAAGGGTGAATCAATGAAAGAAGCCCAAGGCTCTTGCCCCAGGGAGCAAGGAAAGTCCCTTGGGAGCAGTGGTTTGCTGGAACTCAGCTGACTGTGCAGCTCTCTTTCCATTCAAGTTTGGAGGTATTAGGAGGGTGGCTTGGAATTGGCCATAATGGGAGTTTTACACCATGGAAATTGGCAAATCAAATACTAGATGCCATTGCTTTATGCCCTGGAGATCTGATTGTCAGCACACATAGCTCAGTGGCAATATGAATACCAACACTTGGTTTAAATTTTCCAATCCCTTTCATACTAGTGTCCTTACTCTCACTTATTCTTCCAAGGTATCCTTCGTGCCTGAGGTTGTGTATCAGGTCATGGAAGATGTCCCCTCCCTAACTTTTCTGCAGACCACAGGTCCCTATGAGAGCCATTAATCAGCCTGATTTCCTGTCCTCCTCCAACCTAGTGCTTTCAATTGTGCCTCACAAATTAACCAGAAGGATTAATAGCATCTTTCATTGATATTCCTTGTGTGATTCAATTAGTTCAAGGAGGGAACTGCTTGCCCTCTTTCCAGGGAACAAAACCTTTGGTATCATTAACTGTGCAAAGATATTCCTGCTATGGGTGATTTTGGTTTATGGATGCTTATTAAGCCAGAAAGTGCAAGGCAATCCTTCTGTCTCTTTCACCTGAATCTATTTCTAATCAGTCTGCATGCCAGGGAAATCTCTGCTGGTTAATTTTGTCCATTTAGAGAATAATTTTTTGTTGTTAGGAACAGAGCTGTAGATCATCCAAGACGGTAGTGAAATGAGAGTTCATTTCAGGAGATTTATTTCTGTCTCCTGAATTCAAGGGGAGTGAATGATTGGGCCGGTGGTTATGATATTGATTATCTTAGACTGTACCAGAGGGTGAGGTGTCTGCTTTGTTTGAGAATTGGAAGCTTGAGGGAAGATAGCAATACAGAGGTCTTGTAATTTCCCTTGGTTGGGTAAATGGACTTTTGCCCCAGGGTTATGACCCCAGTGTCTAGGAAGGTGAATAAGTAGGTTGCATTGCCAGAAAAAAATGCAGTGTTAGCTGAGGATGAACACACGGAGCCCAGGGTTCAGAGAAATGACACGTGTGCGTGTACACACACAAACTCCATGTTTTCATCTCTCTCATCAAGGTGCATGTAGTCACTGTAAAGTCAGGCTCAGATGGAAGTCTTTCTCTCAAGTCCCTTGCTCTCATCTCTTCCTGGCACCCCACATCCCCAGTCCTCTAATTCAGGCTCTTTCCTCTCCTCAGACTTGCAAGGCCCATGCCCACTTCTCATTCGATCATGGCCACATAACACAGTTTTCCCTCTTCCATCTCGCAGCATTAGTCTTGCAGAGTCAAGCATCTCCAAGACACAAACTTTCCTCTTGCTAATTTGTAATGGTCTCTCAGAGAAACCATTGTCAAGCTAAGGAAGTTTCTGTCTCTTTACATATTCCAAGAACCTCGTTCTAAAATTCTCCACCCTATCAAGGGTAAAAAGGAGGAAGGAAAGAGAGAGGGAGGGAGGGAGGGAGGGAAGGAAGGAAGGAAGGAAGGAAGGAAGGAAGGAAGGAAGGAAAGGAAGGAAGGAAGGAGAACAAAGAGAGTACAAACCATCCATTCTGCTTGGCTAGTGAGCTTGCCATTCTGTGCCCATGAGACCCTCAGAAGACATGGAGAGCCTCAGGCCACTAAAGCACCATGGTGCATTTCTGGGCAAACACTAGAACATTTGACAGTTATCTCCCACCCAGATGGCCAGAAATTGTTCTCCCTGCTGTTGTAGAGCTAAGCAGAAGAATGTTGACTCAGGGAGTCCACACACCAGGATTCTGGTTCCAACTCTAGCTGAGTTGGGGCAAGTGAACGTTCCTCTCGAGTTCTCTGTCTTCACGAGTGTAGTTCTAATAACAATAGTAATAAATAGTAATAGTAGCAGAGGAAGAAGGAGAAGGAGAAGACACTTCAATGTTTGTTGAGGGCTGTGAGCCCGGTGCTTTACATATGTTCTGTCAGCTGAAGCACACAAAGTCATGTGAGGTGAATAGTATTATTCTCAGCCTCTTTCACTGGGCAGTTGCCACGCTGACCTCACACTGTCCAGCTTTTCCTCTCTGGGGGTTTCACTTGAGAGGTTTTCTCTGCCCGGGGCACTCCCTTCCACTCCCCACCTCCTTTTTGCATGGCTTCCTCTCCATCCTCAGGGTCTTAGCTTACATGTGACTTTCCTCAGGTGTAACTCGTGTCTAGAAGAGCTTCTTCCCCACAAAACACATAACACAATTTGTATATTCTCTCTGTCTCCCCGATCCAGCAGTGGGCTCCCTAGTGGGCTTTCTTTGTCTTTTCTCCTTTTTAACTTTTTGTTCCCTACCAGCTGGCACCTAGCAAATGCACCATTAAACGTCTGCCGAATGAACCAATGGATTAGTCCTGATTTAGGAGAGGTAGGACCTGAGAGGTTTGGAAGTTAAATAACTTGCTCCATGTCAGACGGCTAGGAATTGGACTCAAACTCGGGTTCTGCCTGACTTCCAAAACCGCTCTGCCCAACCACCTAGGGAGAAGGGGCTGGGCAGACCTCTGGGAGGGGAACCCGTGAGAGCGTTTTCCGAATTCCCTCCCACTCTACATTTTTCTTCAACACCAAGGGAATTTTGACCCGCCAAAGAGCTTTCAGCCCCCTCTCCCCACTCTGTCTTGATGTATTCCAATTACGGAACTAGGCCCCTGGCTGATACACTCTAAAGGAGTTGATTTCACTCTCCCAAATATGGAATCAACCATGCCTGTAATACGTTATTCACTCAGCAGGATCTGACTCTCCCAGAGTTGTATAGACATTATCTGTTTAATCCTCACCAAACCCATGTGAATTTGATATTGGTCACACAGTATGATTTCCCTTTAATCAGTGACGAGTGGGGGGAAGGGAGAAAGTTAACCAGAAAGCCCATAGGTGTCATATTCAACTCAAATACAATGTGTTATGTTTTCAGAGCTCAATAGACATTAAAAGAAAAGATATTGGTATGTGTGGTTTTAACAGTCTGACGCTTTCCTTCTATGCATCTAACATTTTGAATAGTTAAATACATAATTACCATTCCATGTTAAGTTCATTACCTGGTAGTACTAATCATATCTTACTGTATATAAAGGACTTTAATGGAAGATGAAAATCCAAGGGTATTCCCTTATAACTATCAAGCACTGAAATTAACAGGACTTTAAGTCCCTTCAAGTCTAACTTGCTATTTGAAGCCATTATGCTATTCTGCGACATCTTTAATATAGAAATGGTAAGCTACACACACACACACACACACACACACACACACACACACACACCATTGTTGTTAATAGAAGGTCATATCACATATGTTAATTGCTGGGCCCAATACCTAGCCCATAGTAGGAACTTAATAATGGCAAGAATGGCCAATTCCTCCTGACCTTTATGTGTACTAGTGTTGATTACACACTTGGGACCCTTACCCCATCGAAGTGCATATATATAGCTTCCACATAAATCTCTGCATGAATTGAAAGGGGCTGCACATAAATACATATTCCATCTCATTGAATCTCTCAGTGACTCAAGAAGATACACAGGATGTCTTACAGGTGAGGAAGCTTGGACAAGGAGAGGCCTATCTCCATAGCCATACCACAGACCTCCAGGCTCTGTTACTCCACTCTTTCTTCTGGAAGAAGTCTTACCAAAAGCAATATTCTGACATGGCACAAAGGGCTGAGACATCCAGGATTATATAAAGCAACTTAGATTTAAGCACGGAGCAATTAATATCACTTCCTCCTTATTCCTACCGACAGTAAGAGCTGACAGAGAGCATTCGGTCCTGAGAAGTGAGCAGATGCATGCCACAGGAATAAAACTCATATTCCCTTCAGCTGTGGTGTTCCGTGTGTACGAGCCCCAGCTTGCAATGGGGGTTGCGGTAGCTTCTCAACGCCTCCTCAGATCCTATAGGCAAATTAGGAAGAGAAACAAAGCAAAACAGATCAGCATTTCTGGAGCACTTGGATGCTGGGTCTCTGGGGCCGATGGTCATGTAGATTTAGCTAGGGAGTAAGTCTAAATTTCCTATTTTATGGCCTGGAACATCTTACTAAGGAGCTCATCCACATCTATTTACAGTAATAGCTTTCATTAACATCTATTGAGTACTTATCCTGTGCCAGGATCTGTTTTAAATGCTTTACACAGATTAACACATATAAACATAGTTTTCTCCTACTACATCTACTGTTTCTTTTGGTCAAGTTGTTTCCATTTTTAAAATACTGGTTTTAAAAACTAATCACTTAAAACTGCCACACACAGAAACAAAAATGACCCACAAAATATTACTTTACCTTTGAAGATTTTATCATTAACCAGTCTTTTCCTATTAAAGTTAGACGGCCAACTCAGACCAACAGCCCTGATACTCTTTCGCCACCGAGTGAGACTGACATGGCAGGTGTTATGATGGATAATACTCACTTCGCCTTCTTCACTTTCTGAATAGACTTGGTGACATTGCCAGTTCCAGCAGCCTTCTTGTCCACAGCAACTTTCTGTTTTATATGATGAATCACAGAATGACCCAGTGGAGTTGTTATCAATGCTGTTTTACTGTTGAGGAAACCAAAGTATGGGGAAATGCAGCAACCCTTCCAAGGTCTCATTCCAGAGCCCATGCACTTAACCCTTAACAATAATTCTGTTTTCTGTGTAAAGTGGGCTAGCATTCCTAATGGGACCCCAGACCACCTAAAGAAGATGAATTCCAAAATGAAAATAAAATAAATGGGAGTATTACAACATGAGGCATTGTTAAGTGCCCTTGATTGACTTTCTTTGGAAATGAGCAGGAACTACTTTTGAATTTAGCCAAACTAAGCAAAGTTGAGCATTTGCTTCTCATCTTAGGCCATCCTTAACCTCCCAGATATATCTCTTCTTTCTTGAAGACTTCCCTGATTTCCTGCTCCTAATTTTTAGTGCCTAATTTCCACAGATCCATGTTCTACCCCAAGATGGACTATGACATTAATTGGTAACCAGTTGAACCTTTTAACAGTTGACATAGAGCAACTAACACAGAGTTTTAACAACAGGGAGGCTTTGAGGTTGACATATACTGAGATCTTGTGCTCTGAAATAGTGCATATTAGATACTCACCTACTCTCTCCCTCAGCCCTTTAGGTCTTAAATTCTGGGGCTCCTGGGTGGATCGGTCAGTTGAGCTACTGACTTCAGCTCAGGTCATGATCTTGCAGTTGGTGAATTCAGCCCCGCGTTGGACTCTGTGCTGACAGCTCAGAGCCTGGAGCCTGCTTCTTATTCTGTCTCTCTCTCTCTCTCTCTCTCTCTGCCCCTCCACTGCTCATGCTCTGTCTCTCTCTCCCTCTCAAAAATAAATAAACATTTAAAAAAAATTAAATTCTTACTATGGCTTAAAAAAAAAAAAACCTATATTACTCCAAAAGATAAAACATGTTTATTGCAGAAGTTACAGGCAAGCAAATTAAAGCAAGGAGACATCTCGAATTCTTCCCACCTGGAGATATCTGTCATTAATCCCTTAGTGTGTAATTTTCCAGATCCTTTGATGTGAGATTACATCTCTACTTTCTGAGGCACGACGGCTTGTTACACAGTCAAACACGGATATTTTCTCCTCGTGTTCAGTTTTTCTCCAAGCAAAGTTACACCAGTTTGCCGGACTAGTTTTTCAAACACCACCTCCGCGGTCCCCATCCTCCTCCTGGCTTCCATCTCCCAGCCTGAACCCAACACAATGCCACATTTCGGAAGAACGTAACCTCTCCCAATTCAGACACTGAACTCTGATTGATGTATTTCACTGGATTAGCATCATTCCAATGACTCTCTTCTTTCTTGCTTCTTTGTTCTCCACAGCTTTTTGCGATCTTTGCGTTTGCAACATGCGGTGGCTATTCCGGAGGCCTGCGGCTGAGTGTGGACTGTGCCAACAAGACGGAAAGTAACCTCAGCATTGACATAGCATTTGCCTACCCATTCAGGTAGGGAACGGCGACTCGTGCTCATAGAGAAGGCACCTTCTTCTTTCTGTGGTTTCTCAAAAGATAAGCAGTTTTCTAGAGACTTAGGGGTTAACAGAGAGGAGTCTGTCTGAGCCCACAGAACACCCGAACAAGTAAATGCCCACCTGCCACCCCACTCGGGGAGGATTTGTGAGTCCTACTGACTCTTCTCCAAAACATTGATACTGTTGGCCCAGTATTCGGAGCTGTCAGTAGGAGACCTCAGATACACAATTCCCTCCTCCCCATGCTTATTTCCTATCTTAAGTTCTTCCGAATTCTCTCTAGGATTAGTGTCACCTCTAATTTCATGTTGACTGTGCAATCTTGGTTGATAATGCCTTTAATAATATTAATATCTAATATTGCTTCCATCTGCCAGACACTATACTTAGCTGCTTACTTGGTTATCTCATTCAGTCCTTTTGAAGAGAGGACAATTACTATCAACGTTTACAAATGAGGAAAGTGAGGCACATACACATTTGCCCACATTCCTCAGCCAGTACATGGCAGTCAAGGTTGAGCCTCCCTGGGTTGAGCCCAGATCTCATATTTCTGTTGCTATACTTAAATTGCCCGAGATCATTCTTTCAATCTCTTTATAAATTCAGTCTGAAAGGTACCTTATATGTGTCTGGTAGATGACTAGACACCTACCAGGGCTTTTTCCACATTGGATATCTTGTGATTCTGACCCATATACCCAAGTGGATGAACTAAATTCAATTTTAAAATAATTTCTTTCTGTAAAACTCCCAAATACTTGGCACCAAATAACCAGTATTATTTTTTAAAACAACTTTCAGCACAATGTTTCGGAACACTCTCTTGTTCATTTCTATTTAACACACATTTATCGAGTAATCACCTTGTGCCAGACATGGTGCTGGCTCTGGAAGTACAGAGAAAAGTATAAATTGATGCCTGAAAACTCTTCTTAAATAGGATAGTACAGTGTTTTCCAAAGTCTTTCCCATGGGGCCCTAGATATTTAATATTTAATGAAGAAAAGAAGGAGGGAGGGAGAGAAAGGGTGAGGAATCATTTAAAAATTATGTGGTCAAATAAATTTAAGAAATACTTCTTAGCACTCTGCTTTTCTAATGCCCATTTCGAATCACCAAGAGAAATACAATGTTTCCCAAATACATTTGACCGCAGACACCTTTTCTCACTGAGCATCTCAGAGGATCTGTATATCATGGAACACATCCTTGTTATATTGATTTAGTGGACTTTCCCTAGCCTAAAACAAAAGTGCCTCAGCTTAGAGGCAATGAATCATGGGAAGTGGCATTGATACCAACATACCAAAGGGTTTTTAAAAGTAGAACTGATAAATGTTGCAAACACCTGTGCTCAAGTAGACACACTCCACACTAATAAGAGAGTGCAAGGCTCAGAAATACTAAGCACAGAACCCCTAGTAATTTGGTGTAAAGAGCTACACATGTGGGTAGAAATGAGGCTGAGTTGGGGGTATTTGACACTTGTAAGTTCTGGAGGAACTCCTTGGTTTATTAGGGAGAAAGGCGAAGCCACTGCACACTCACGGCTCAGTATGTGAGATCTAGGATAGGAGATCAGAATGGCTGGTTCTAGGAGTGGAGATAAGAACTACCAATGGCTGGGATCTAGCAGAGGAGAGAAGAAATGTCAATGGCTGCACAAGAGAGGTAGCATGCATAGTAACATTAGTCGTGAAATTGCACGGTCTGCATTGCCTTCTACAATGATTTCGTACCAAAAAAAAAGTGGTAGGAACAGATGACTTCAAGGTCCGTCGCTTAAGATTTGAACATCATTAGGTCACCAAACGTTGAACACAAGTCCTTCTGTCTCTCAAACTGGAAGAGAGTGATCAAGAGACCTGTTTAGACAGGAAAACAGGGCCTGGTTGTTTGGGCTTAGGAGGGTGGAGAGCAGGGTCATGTTTAATTTCATGCAATCCTTGGCTCAGTGTACAATTTGAAAAGACACTTGAAGCAAACAGTTTCCAGTATTGGGCTTAATTTTCTTCCCAAGACATATTACCCTGGCCCAATAAAAGGCAACTGAAGAAATTGGATAAAAATGTTTATTGCCACCTATGAGCACAGTGGCCCTCTTATTTGAGATGTTTTTACTTGGCTTTTGAAACAAAGATGACCAACCATTATTTTTTCAGTAGCAGAAACTTTTCTTCCAAACACTACCTTGCCCAAAAGCTCCGTATATAAAATGGACAGGAGTCCCTGAGAAAGTTGAAGCAGGTTAAGAAAGGGGCTTGAACCATCCAGCTGGTCCTCCTTAGCCTTCTCCCTGCCACACACACAGCCCATCCCCTGCTGCAGAATCTCTAGTATCTCCTTAGAACCCTAGTCCCCTACAGGCATTATAAAAACCCACTGTTCTAGAAGAAAGCCAGAAAGCTTTTCCCACTCTGTTTACCACATCTGTACAACATTTAGTGTCGACCAGTTAGGAATGGAGATTAGCCTACCCATCCCACAGAATGTCTTGCACTTTTGTCCCATCTGTGTCCATCTAGGAGATACACGTACCATTCCAGAGAGACCCTGTTTTACTAGAGCTGCAAGTTCATTCATACATTTAGATGCTATAAAATGTTATGCCATGATCTTCTCAGGGAAGATGTCAATAGTGAGTGAACACATCTAGAATTTATACAGATTATTTTGACGTCATTTGTTTCAGAAGAAATTGGGTTAGCAAGGTGCTAATGATATAAATCATTAAAAGAGTTATTTTCTCCTAAAACTTTACAAGCCAATGCCAATGATTTGACCATAATCTTAGAAATAAAAGGAGAGATTCAGCAGCTTCTAACTTTTCAGTTTATTGCAAACACAAAGAAGACAATGAACTCTAAGGCCAAGTCTGTAAATGACAGAGCAAAAAAAGCTACTTCACTTACTTATCAGATTATCAGATGTGGGATGAAGTCAATTTAGAAAATGCTAGATAGGGGCGCCTGGGTGGCTCAGTCAGTTAAGCATCCAACTCTTGGTTTTGGCTCAGGTCATGATCTCACGGTTTGTGAGATCAAGCACAGCATTGGGCTCTGCACTGACAGCATGGAGCCTGCTTGGAATTCTTTCTCTCTCTCTCTCTCTCTCTCTCTCTCTCTCTCAAAAAAAAAAATGCTAGATAATTTACAAAAGTATTCACGTGCTGCTTCTGTTAAATATGCCAAAGTATGTGACTCCTTTTACCACCACATGTACATATTTTTGATTCACATCAGAAGGAATTTATATTCAGCCATATATCCTTTTACTATCATCCAACCTTCCTTTTGATTCATGATTAAAATGAGCAAGTAATAGCTATTTTCTCATCTACTATATGTGCTAGTTTGGTAAAACAACAACAACAACAACAATTTATTTGCTAATTTGGGAGGGGGGTCTGGATTTAAAATTTCTTGTACTTTCTTTATACACAGAAGTGTGAAGTAGAGTTTTTTATTAGAAGGAATTTAATATATTTGCAGAAAGTGTAGTCAAAGAATGCTAATCAACACTCTGCATGGATACCTGATGCATGTCAAATGAAAGATAAAGGAGGTTAGAAGAGAGACTTTGGGGGCTATGGGAGAAAAGGTTTTCATGGCAAAGATGAGTTCTGATGGGTCTGAGTGATGAATGAATAAATATGCAAATACGTATCTCAAGCCCATAATGCACCAAACACTGCTGGCCACCTTCATGTATATCCTGTAATCATTACACCAACCCGGTGAGGTAAGTTACCATTACATTGCTTGAGAAGACTGAATGGAGAGAAATTTGGTCAGCATCACACAGAAAATCAATTGCAAATTTTTGGATTTCATATGATCTTCTAATGTGAATAAAAACTGAAGATAACAATGTTCAGACTGTTTGAAGCGTGGTGAGTAGAGCAAAAAATATGACAGAGAAAAGTGATAGAGATGGAAAGGTAGT